ATTTTTGGGCATGTCAAGTGGAAAAAAGTCAATTGATTCAGAAGAAATCAATTTTAATGCTCTTGTTCAAGCTATTAAATTGTGTTTATTTGATAGTCATATTTTGGCGAATAAATATTATTATTTAGTATATAATAATATATATTATTAATATATTTAATTATTTCTACTAAACATAACGTTTTATGTCAAACTTATTAAATTTTATCAATTTTTAATGAGTGTCTCACAACTGGAGACATTTTTTTTTTGACAAAAGCGATGTACTCGGAAAATGTATCGTAAAATTTTTTGAGTTCATCGAAGCACTACATTTTCTTTCAATGAAAGTTGCGTATTTCTGTTACCTTTCGAACGGTGTATTTTATTAACAATTTCGTTTACCCGTTTACAATTTACGGGTCAAAAATGAAACCCGTCTCACAACTGGAGACTCTCCCCTACAAATTTTCGAGTTATGAATTTTCGAAATTTTTGACTTGTAGACTTATATTATAATTACTTATATTATAATTGTAGACTTATATTCAGTAGCTTATAATTCCGAAAAAATTGAGTTTAGGAAAAAGTTGTCAAAAAATGAAAGTTTTAGTTTTCTTTCGAGTTTTAAGAAATGTAAACAAAAATTTTTTTTATAAACAAATTAATTGTTTTTAACTTTTGGCCGGATTTTGAAATTTTTTTTTCAAATTTATTTATACCTTATAATATAGAGGAGAGTTTCCAAAAAGTCCCGAAATGGGCCTGATGTGTGAAATGAGTTTTAAAACATTTTCAAAAATCACTTGCAAGCATCACATGGGATATTTTTACAATTAACTTTTTAGAACTTTCTGCAGCGTATAAATGTTAATCTATTTGTGACTAAAAAAAATTGTGATGGCTGCCATAAAAAGTTGTTTGTCACCATGAGTGGACTGCCTGTTTTTCCATTTTTAATGTCAGTTTAACATTTTTTAGATATAAATTGACAATAAATTAGTTTGAAACTATGATTTATGTTCTTTATTAATTTTTTTGTGATATTGATGTGATATGTGACAAAATTATTAAAAATGGTTTCACTTGTAAACATTGCGACACATACATGGTCTGAAGCTGCATAAGCATAAATTTTGTTTCAATATATCAGAAATATTAAATACATTAAAGAATTTAGAATAACTTTTACAATTTTTTAGGAGTGGTCCACTCAAGGTTACACTTTTTTCATTCCTTAAAAATTAGCTTTTTTTAAAAGTCAATTGTTTTTTCCAATAAAAAAATCAAAGCTATTATAGTATAAACACTTATCTAGGGATTTAAACTAAAGCTTGGAATAGAAACCTCCGATTAATTTGCTTTCATAAAGAATTTTTTAGAAAAAAAGCGTAGGCGGTCCACTCAAGGTGACATTACTCTATATATGTTTTTTTCGAAAAAAGAATCAGCTACGATTTTTGGAAATGAAAATTTGGAATCTTGGGACGATTCCAGATAAAACTGCGTTAGCACAATTTTGACTCATTTTAGGTAAACCTAAAAGTGCTTGAAGACCACCGTGTCGGTTGGCCCCAACGCGCGCGCTCCGCCCTTTCATGCGTTCTATTGTTTACCTAACCTTGTATCACCTGAAAAGGTGTATACACACACTCAAAATTCGAACGAAGCGTTCAATTCGCTTGTGTGGCGCTTAAACCCAAAATACGTCAATTCTGGCTCTAAAATCGATGAAATAGCGGAAAATTTGGCTGCAGGCATTTTTAACGAGGCCTATGCATCTGTGCTGACCACTATGTAGATGCTCGATATTGTTATCGGGCAGCAATGCAAAAATTTTGCCGATAATATCGATGCGAATCGAATAACGAGGGAAAACCGGCGCTCGTCATTTTCAAACAAGGAGGCTCGGACAGCTCGACGAGAAGAAAATCTTCGACAAAATGAGTTCTTCGAGAAAGAGGAAGAACTACTATATGGGCCAGGAATAGCTGATTAAAATTTAATTAGTGTAAGTATCCTAAAAATTGTATTTTTTGGACCTAAAACTTTAAATCGCTTTTTCTCGTATTTTCATTTTCACACGTCATAGAAAACGGTGCCGGTGATAGCAAAAAGAATTTTTGTCCGATTGAAAAAAGTCAAAGTGTTTTTGCTTCAGTATTAAATTATCTTCTAGTGATTTTTTTAATTACAATTTTTATTTTCTTACAAATAAATTATCTTCTATTTGTACTAAAATAGTTAGACAAAAGTATTATTTAAACTATTTTTTTTGCACCTTAAAGTGAATTTTTTCTTTAAAAAGTGAACTTTTTTTCAAACTTCGAAAATGGTTTGATTGATTCAGATGCATCGTACGACCTCCATCACTGGCACCGATTTAAAAATACAGACTGCAGCGCTCCACAAAAATCGTTGTTACTAAGAAGAATTTAAATATTTTTTAAAAATAAAAGTTGGTTTTTGAAGCTCAAATACAGTAGAATATCATCAAAAAATTTCGTTTACCGGAATCATTTCCTTCCCTTTTAAAAAAATTCCTGAAAAAACGCTTTTTTTCGCCTTCTAAAGGAGAAAGTTTTGAATAAGGAGACAATTGTAAATTTGTTGTTATTTTCTATAAGAGGCAAAATTTGGTAACATTGGATAAAAGGAAATTATAAAATTTATAATTAAATGTATAAAACTTGATGTTAAAATTCTAATGTAATATTACTATTTTTAAAATTATAATTCCTTGATATAAGTAAATTTTATAAAATAAAAGAACAATGTCTAACAAAGGAGAAACTGTTAATTCGACTACTCATGATTTAAGTATTGTTGTCACTGAAGGAGCAATGCTAAATAAATAATGATCATATGTATGAATTTCAAAAGCTATTGGGAAGAAAATCAAATGTTTTTTATAATACCTATACAAAATACTTTGTAACACTAAACTTCTAATATTAACAAAATTCTCCAATGACTCAATTACAGCAAAAGAAATCCACTCTAATATTCTTTACTGTTATTTAAAAATTAGATTGATTATTTTTTTCTCAAACTAAGCAAGAACAAATTATTTCGATTACAAAAAAACTAAAATAACTATGCAACTAAAACAATAATAAAGAATAAATCAACCTACTAACGTTTTCTATTTTTTATCAAAATAACTTTCAATGTAATAAATAATAAAAAAACTATAGGATAAATACAAAATATATCAAACATATTTTCAAAAAAAATTATAATCATGTTTAACTAAATTTTACAAAATTCAATTATTCTAAAAGACATTACATTATTGATATATTTAAAAATTTTCATCATAGAACTGATTCAAAAATAATTATCGTAAAGTTTGCTTAAAGTTATTTTTCAAACTTAGAAAAACAAATGAAATAAGTTACATTTTTATGCAGAAAATATGTACTTTCTTGTCACAATACTTGAAAAAACTAAAAAAAATAATTTTCTTAATTTACATCCTAAATGGATTACAGATCGATTTAATAACTGTTGTATGTATAAAACTCAGATGGTATTTTTTTCGGGATTTTTCATCCCACACTACTTTACTATTTTCTTTTAGAAATGGAAATTTTAAAAAAGGTCTTAATTCCGAACCTCTTATAAGTTTAATGACTCACAATAATTAAAGACAACCTAGTAATATAATTTTTATTTTATATTACAAAAACATTTTCATTGTGAATCTTTCAGATTACTTTCATCATTTCCATCTTCCATTTTACTCAATTTTAGCTATGATCCGTTCCTAAAGTAACTTCTTTTAAAATTTATTTTAAAAAAAGAGACAAGATTTTTTTTTCTTAAATCCAGAGTTTATAATTAAATTTAAAAAAAATTCCAATCATTCAAAATCCTTTAAATAAATATGGAAATAAATTTTTTTTAACCATTGCAGCATAGTGGTAACCCAGATTACCACCTTTTATATTGTGAAAATATCTGTTTATATACAGTCTTTTTCAAGTAAAATCCAAAAATCTTTGTTAATTAATAATCAAAACATTTTTAAATGTCGAAAAATTAATAGCGAATGAGGTTACGTGAAATTATAAACTACTATAAATAAATAAATTAAAGAACAAAAAATTTTTTTTTTTTAAATTCAATCGAAATTGATTGAAAGTCTTTACTTGGGGGTTTTTAGGGTCGCTGATTACGAATCTAAAGTCCGTTTTCCGATATTCAAGATGGCGGATCCAGTATGGCGGACAAATTTTTTTAGAATTGATCGAAATCGCTTAAAAGTCGTTACTCGGGGGTTTTCGGGGTCGCTGATTATGAATCTAAAATTACTTTCAATAAATAAACGTTAAATTATTAAATAATTGTACCGTCGGCATTTGCGTTACCTGATGTACACCGCGGGGAGGTTGCACGATCGGGATTTGTAGATCGTTTAGCCCTGAAAAGGGCAGTTTGGTAAATACTGTTCAAAACTTTATAATAATCAAATTGAGCTGTTTATTTCCTAATAAAATTAACTAATTAATTAAAATCAGAGGATTTTAATTGCTATTATAAAGTTTTGATGTGTCTTGCTTTGAACAATTAAATTTTATTTTCAGCAGTGGTAAGCAGCAAAGCAATTCGCTTTCAGTAAAATTCATTTGCTTTAGTCCAGTTAGTATTTTAGTTTATTTGAACTCTCAACAGTGTTTTGTTTATTGTTTGTTATAATCAACATAAATATGAGTTCAGTCAAATATTGCTGATTTATAACTTGTCTTTTTTGCGCTTGTCATTTGTTTCGTCAAACTATGGATAGTATTTTGTTTATTGTTTGTTACCATAATCGTAGGTATGCGGTCAGTCAAATAATGCTGAATTATAACTTGTCCTTTTTACGCTACGTTTAGTAGATGAATTGGTAGGACACAAACTACCAAGTTCAACTGGGAAGAAACTTAAATTAAGTACAATCTCTTCTTACAAACCAAAAGTGTCAGAGGAAAAAAGAAAAAGTCAATCAGCTCATATGCCTAAAATTATCGCTTCACCTAGACGCTGCGCTCATTGCAGTACTAAAGCCGACCAAAAGCGAACATCATGGATGTGTAAAGCTTGCAATGTACCACTCTGCCTGTTTCCCACAAGAAATTGCTTCGCTGCTTACCACTGCTGGAAAAAATTTACTTGTTTAAAGCAAGAGACATCAAAACTTTATAATAGCAATTAAAATCTGCTAATTTTAATTAATTAGTTAATTTTATTAGTAAATAAACAGCTCAATTTGATTATTATAAAGTTTTAAACAGTATTTACCAAACTGCCCTTTTCAGGGCTAAACGATGTACAAATCCCGATCGTGCAACCTCCCCGCGGTGTACATCGGGTAACGAAAATGCCGACGGTACAATTATTCAATAATTTAACGTTTATTTATTGAAAGTAATTTCAGATTCGTAATCAGCGACCCCGAAAACCCCTGAGTAACGCCTTTCAAGCGATTTCGATCAATTCTAAAAAATTTCGTCCGCCATATTGGATCCGCCATTTTGAATTTTGGAAAACGGTCTTCAGATTCGTAATCAGCGACCCCGAAAACTTCCAAGTAACTATTTTTAACCCTTTAACGTCCAGCGGTACATATGCTGTACCATAAAGAATAAAAAAACCTATCTTCAAATAGGGTTAATATATTTAATAACAAAATGATATCTAGAGATTTTCGGGGTCGCTGATTACGAATCTAATGTCAGATTTTGAAAATTCAAAATGGCGGATCCAATATGGCGTACCGAAAAGTTTAAAATTTGATGGATTTTCATGAAACTTGGTATGTAGGGGTTTTCGAGGTCGCTGATTACGAATCTGATGTCAAATTTAAAAAATTCAAAATGGCGGATCCAATATGGCGGACGAAAATATTAAATTCGATGGATTTTCATGGAACTTGGTATTTAGGGGTTTTCGAGGTCGCTGATTACGAATCTGATGTCAGATTTTGAAAATTAAAAATGACGGATCCAATATGGCGGACGAAAATTCAAAATTTGATGAATTTTCATGGAACTTGGTATCTAGGCGTTTTCGAGGTCGCTGATTGCGAATCTGATGTCGGATTTTGAAATTTCAAAATGGTAAATCCAATATGGCGGATAGAAAAATTTAAAATTTGATGGATTTTTATGAAACTTGGTATGTAGAGGTTTTCGAAATCGCTGATTATGAATCTAATGTCAGATTTTTAAAATTCAAAATGGCGGATCCAATACGGCGGACGAAAATTTAAAATTAGATGGATTTTCATGGAACTTCGTATCTAGGGGTTTTCGAGGTCGCTGATTACAAATCTGATGTAGGATTTTGAAAATTAAAAACGGCAAATCCAATATGACGGACCGAGAATTTTAAATTCATGAATTTATATGGAGCTTTGAATCTAGGGGTTTTCGATGTCACTGATTACGAATTAGATGTCATATTTTCAATATTCAAAATGTCGCATTTAAAGATAATGGATAAATTTTAGAAACTGTGTTAGGTCTTTAATAATTTTTAAATACGAAACCAACTTACACTTTGCGTGACCCAGAACTAACGACGTGGACTTAGTAAGCCACTAGTTCCAAGCTACATTGGATTTATAATCAGCTACCACAAAAACCCCTACATACCAAGTTTCATAAAAATTCACCAAATTTTAAAATTCCGGTCCGCCATATTGGATCCGCCATTTTGAATTTTTGAAATCTGACATCAGATTCGTAATCAGGGACCCCGAAAACCCCTAGGTACCAAGTTTCATGAATTTTGATCGAAAAAAAAATTTTGGACGTTAAAGGGTTAAGTAATTTCGATCAACTCTAAAAAATTTCGTCCGCCATATTGGATCCGCCATTTTGAATTTTGGAAAACGGTCTTCAGATTCGTAATCAGCGACCCCGAAAACCCCCAAGTAACTATTTTTAAGTAATTTCGATCAATTCTAAAAAAAATTCGTCCGCCATATTGGATCCGCCATTTTGAATTTTGGAAAACGGTCTTCAGATTCGTAATCAGCGACCCCGAAAACTTCTAAGTAACTATTTTTAAGTAATTTCGATCAATTCTAAAAAATTTCGTCCGCCATATTGGATCCGCCATTTTGAATTTTGGAAAACGGTCTTCAGATTCGTAATCAGCGACCCCGAAAACCCCCAAGTAACTATTTTTAAGTAATTTCGATCAATTCTAAAAAAATTCGTCCGCCATATTGGATCCGCCATCTTGAATTTTGGAAAACGGACTTCAGATTCGTGAACAGCGACCCCGAAAACCCCCGAGTAATGATTTTTAAGCGATTTTTATCAATTCTAAAAAAATTTGTCCGCCATATTGGATCCGCCATCTTGAATTTTGGAAAACGGACTTCAGATTCGTAATCAGCGACCCTAAAAACCCTCATAAGCATTTGTGATTTTTAAATTAATGTTATAATGTTATGCATGCCGCAAAGGGGTAAATAATTCAATTTTTTTAAATTGAATTCTTTTTTAAATAATTCTGCAGAGTTATCGTCGAAAGGTATAACAGAAATTTGGATTTTCAAGGATTTCAAATTGAAATTTTTGCAAAGTCTAATTTCTTTAGATCCACGCTATAATGCTTTTCATGCTCAATTATTATATACTCAGGTAGAACTGTCTTGTTTATGGCTATGTCATTTTTCCTATTTTCAGGTGCCATGCAAAAAAAAAGGCTAGGCTGAATAGCAATCCTTCCAGAAGTTCAAGGGTGTTATTGAAACTTATTGCCCTCTTTGTATCCAAAGTAAAAAAAAATTCTGAAAAAAAGAATTGTTAATATAAAAGAAATTTACAATTGTACAATAATTCTTTTAATAAATTTAGAATAAAAATTTATTTAAAAAATTTTAAATTTTGTTTGAATTTTCTATCACAATTACAAGCCAAAATTGCACTTCTCCTTAAGAATAAATATGTAGACAATTGTTTAAAATTTTTTAAAAAACAATTGGTAAATATGTTGAAAGTAGATATTAAGGAATGTTGATGAATTTTTTCAGATTTCTCCAACCATTTTTTCTATGAAATTTATAGAGTCAAAGTGTTATTTAGTAAAAATCACTCAAAAGTCTTTGTTTTTCACGCTTTTTTTATTCATATGTTTGCAAAAAAATTTTTAGTCATATGTTATGAATGGAAATTATATGAACAATAAAATTATCTATTTCGTGCATTTTGTCTTGTTTTATAGAGATTTTTTTCTACTGAGTAATATCAATTTTTCTCCACGGTCAAACATTTTTGAAACACATAGTAGGTCAGTAGGAAGTAAACATTGAAAGAAATGCCTGTATCGACAATTAAAATATTTCATTCACTTTTATATAATTTAAATAAAACATATATATTTCTTATTATTTCTCGTTCTCTGAAAATTATAGCTGACAAATTAAAAAAAATATTTTCACGAAATAAATAATCAAAATATACACAATGTCTAAGAAGCAAAGTTATAACGTATAAAACAATAAAAACAATCTCAGCATTTTATTAAACTTCGAAAATTAGGATACATATATAACTATTCTTCAAACATTCAATTGAGTCAAACAGATAATTTGAAATTGGCACGACAATTGAATTAAAATTTCCAAAACTCAAATTCTACTTAAAATTTTAAAATAAAAAGAAATGTTTAAATATTACAACATTATTAAAAACCGCTGCCAAGTTGTATATTTTTTTTTATAATTTTGGTGCTTATTTCATGAACACTTTTCTTCCTCATGGAGATAAAAATAATAGAACTATTTGAATAACTTTTTATAAATATGTTAAAAGTGATTAAATTTTGAGTCAGTCAATGTATTTTTAAATACCCTACAAGATAGTTACAATAATTAATTAGTTAAATAAAAATTTTCAAACAAAAAAGTTCAGAAAATGTCATTTTTCACAATGTTTGGTTTTTAAAATACCAATAATTTCGAAATTTATTATCGAACTAGGTTCAAAAATAGGTCAATCGAAGCGTTTTTTAATGCTCTGCAAGTTGATAACGATAATTTTAAAGTTACTTTTACGTTTTTCAACAAAATTTTCAAAAAAGTCTTATTTTCCAGAATTTTTGACTTTTAAAAGTTTAATAACTACGGTTAATATGGACGAAAAATGTTTAATTAGGGCTCAAAAGATGCGTCTAAAAAAACTCTACAAAATTATGGAAAAACATTTATAGGTGTCCTAACATTTTTTTAAAGTTATGGACAAAAAACGTTTTTTTGCAAAATTAAAAATAAAAAAAAATTAGTTAAACTTTATTAATATATCAGAAAGTACTCTCACTTTATGTCCGCAGGTGAGATCTACAATTTAAAAAAAATTTAACCCAAAAGCTCTTTATGATTTCGAGATATTTATGAAAATGTGATGTTTACACACACATACGGAATAAAATTTTTTAAAAATGTCATTTTTGAACTCCTGAGGTCAAATAACATAAAGATATGTCAAAAAATCGAACACATAAACATAAACATAAATTTGTAACAAAATAATTTTTTATTAAAAAAAAGAAAAAATTCCTTAATTTACATTTATCATAAGCAAATTCTTCTTATAAAATGTATCAAGTACACTGTAAGAAAAATTAAATAAAAGCAATTTTTTGTATCCTTATATGAAATCAGTAGATATGCAAATTAGGTAAAGAGAGACATTCTAATGTTATTTACTTTCGAAAGAGGAAGAAAGCAATAGCGTTAGATTTTCTGCGTTATAAACAGAGACCGATAATGGTATTTAGTATCTAGAAAGAAGGAGACAGTAAGATATTTGAAATAAATATATATATATATATACTAGGGGGGCTTCGCCCCCCTGCGCGCTTCGCGCGCCAACCCCCTATCTCTATTTTTCTATTAATTTTAATTTTTATAAATTTAAAGTAATTTTTTCTTAATATCAATGCATCTTAATAAATTGCATACAATACATGACAAAATACGCATAGATTTTGACGTAATGTAATAATCGTTATGGACCTTTTTTATATATATGTCAAAAATTAGATTAAACTTTGACATATATTTTGACCCATTTTAACCTATAGGTTAAAAAGGCGTCAAATTTTAAATAGATTTTGACGTATCATAGATACGTTTATTGTCC